GCTGCCGGAGCAGCTCTCTCCTGCCCAGGGAGGGCTGCTGGCCACCTGCCAGCCTGCCCAAAGTCCACTGCCTGTGTTCTGTGACCTGCCAGCGGGGAGAGCCCTCCCAGGGGCCAGGGAGGCAGCTGGAACCCGGGGCAGGAGGTGGGGGAACCTCTCCCCTGGAGTGGGGTCTGGCAGGGCCAGGGCAGGCTGGGCAGTGGGAATACGGTGCCTCGCACAGCCTGGCAGTGAGGCTGTGTCAGCCCGGGTAGGGGTCCCTCGTGGGTGGGCTGTGGGCACCTTCCTGCCTCTGTAGGTGGGAGAGAAACAGCCAAAACTCTTCATCACCCACGCAGGAATGTGGGATTTGCTGCCCATCATCAGCTGCCCTGGTTCCCCCGTGCCCCAGGGACTGTGGGTGCTCTGGGCTGGACACAGACGTGGGTGAGATGGGGTGAGCCTGGGCCTGCTGCCTCGGGCAGGCTGAGGTCCAAGGGCTGATGTTTGAGCCTGGACCCTGCTCTCGGGGCAGGGAAAGATGCCAGCGCTGCCGGTTCATTTATTTTTTAGGTAATTGAGACTGACCAGGAGCCTGTGGTGAATTAGCAGGGCTGTGAGCCTGTGCAGGGCAAGTGCGCTGCAAGCGCTCGGACAACTGCAGGCTTGAATTATTGATGGAGTCTCTCTGTTTCCTGAGTGCATCGTGATTGGCAGCTGGAACCAGGAGAATTTGTTGCTTCCTCTCTCTCTTGAGGACGGGGGTCTAGTGTTGAGAGCTTTTGGAGGGCGGGCAGCCAGCTGGCTCTTCTCGGGCCCTCAGACTAAGAGGGAAAGGCCAATTAGAGGAGCAGTGTTGCCATTTTTTGTGTTGGTATTGGGGACTGTGTTGGAGCAGGAGCAAGTTCCTCGGGCAGTGCATCCCTCCTTGTCAGCCTGGCAGCCCCCACGGGGGCTCAGCCAGCCTGGGTGAGGGGCTGGGTCCATCCTGGCTCTGATGGAGCTTGTGCCTCACAGCATGGGGGGGCTGCCAGGGGTGTCCAGCCACGGTGACAAACCTTGCCACGTGCCAAACAGATGCCTGGGGGACACAAACAAGCAGTAAAGCAGAGGGGAGGGCTGATGCAGCTCTGTCCCCCCTCCCTGGTGGCAGTGGGACAATGGGAGTGAGCACCTGGTGTGTCTCTTAGCAGGGAGCCAGGGCAGGGCTGATGTGGCAGAGGCGATTCTGGCTTTGTGGGTACTTGGGTTGAACTTTGCCCAGAGTATTCTGTGCTGAGGCCGTGGCCTTAGCCCCAGAGATCCCAGGAGCATTGGGTGACAGCTCTCTGGGGACTTGGGGCATGGAGCAGGGCTGGAGCAGGTTGTTGGAAGGACCCAAGCAGAGTGCTGTGTGCTGGAGATCCATCACCCACGCACTGCAGTGGTGCTGCCTGTCAAGCCTCCAGCCCCAGTCCTATCTGTCGGATCTTGTCCGTTTTCCCTGGCTTGTGGAGTGCAGTTCCCCATCTGCTGGCTCAGTCTGGGCCCTGGGGTTAATCTTTCTGTGGCTGACTCCAGGGAAGCACTCCTGGTGGGGAGCCTGCAAGGCCTGGACTCCATCCTCTGGCAGAGGAGGGTGCAGGTGAACTCTAGGTGGGTATGTCTGTGGTTTGGCCCTGGAAACTTTTATTTTTCCAGGCAAAACATTTGTTCTGTGGGGAGGCAGTTCCCCTGGAGAAGCCAGGGCAAGGGGTTTTAGAAGAATATCCCTTGCCAAAGCTGCCCCCAGTGGAAGAGCTCTGGAGGGCTCAGGGTTTAGGGTGCCTGTCCCCGTATTATCAAGCTTTTAATCCAGCCAGGAAGATCAGGGTGGGTCCCTCTGAGGAGGGAAGCTCCTCAGGTGGGCTGGCAGCTGTCTCCTGGCCAACAAGCAGGCTGTGCTTCCAAAGCTCCACAGGGGTGACATCTCTCCAGTAGACCCGCTCTGGCTTTGGGACCTCTGGGCACAGCCCAGTGTGGGGTTGATGCCAGGAAGCTGGGAGATAAGGCCAGGGGGAATTTGGATGTGAAGCTTTCTGGGTTGCTGCATTGATCCCTGGAGTCCCCCTGTTGCAGGGGGGAGGACAGAGGAGAGTTCTGCCCCTGGGGCAGGAGCTGCTCAGGGTGTGCTTTGTCTTTAGGCTTTTTGGTTCACCCTGAACTGAGCCAGCCGAAATATTTTTGGCTTGCTGGGGTTTTTAAGTAACGGGTGTGTCAGCAAGTGCCTCTCTCATGATGAAAAGGCTTTCATGAGCCGTCCTCAGAGCTGGTCAGGGTCTGGCTCTGGAAGAATGCTCTGTAGTTGGATCTTCAGAGGCTGGGGGGGGAGGAGGGGGAACGGGCGCAAAGCGATCCCTGGAATTTCACCCTTGCGGGTTCCGGCGTCCTTGGCTTTGCACTGTCACACCAGCAGCTCTCTGGCTGCCTGGCTGAGGCTCTCCCCTTCCTGCCTTCCCTGTCCTGCTGCAGAGATGGCCAGCGAGTGCCCCAGACTGGCATGGGGACGTGGCAAGGGGCTGTGCTGTGCCCAGGGAGCCCCTGTCCCTGGATGCTGGCCTGTGAGCCACCGGGAGGGACATGGGGCAGGTTGCTCCCAGCTGGGCGGGTGCAGGGCTGAGTTTGGGGTTTGTGTGCCAGCCAGGACAGTGCAGG